AATCAATTGAGGTTGATATGCCATAAAACAAAACAAAGCAAGCTCTCTCAATCAATGCTCAATCCTTGTTGAAATTGCTAGATGTAACCATAAGTTCTATGTTAATAGTTTCTTCTATCACACTTTTCATTTGTGGAACTCTTCCAGCTTCTTGTTTCCAGTCAACTTTGATTTTGAAAAACTTAAATGCAATGTCAATTGCTATTTGCAGTCTTCTTAATTCCTTTTCTCTTCTCTATCCTTAATAATGCTTTTTCTCATATTCATTCACACTCAGTAACCTCTTGCATCTTCATTCCCTTACTTGGTATTAAAAAAAGTCATAGGCCACAAAACTGTCCTTCACATACCATTGAAACCAATCTGCCTCACTGTTCAGGGCACTTGGGTAATATGTATATCAAAGTGAGTGATTAGTTGAGGTAGAACAGAAATTTGCATGACATTCTTGAAGGCTTGCATAACTTCTCACTTATATATATATATATGTGCGTGTGTGTGTGCATGTGTAAAGTGAGAGTTCATGCAAGCCTTCATTGTTTTTTTTTTTTGTCAGCAGACATGAAACTACCATTTTCTTCACCATACTTGTGTGACACTTGAACTTTGTCATGGGTGAACTTTAGTATTAAAAAAAAAATCTTTTTCTCTATTTTTAACAGTTCCACTACAGATTTCTCTTTTCTTGCTTTTAACAGAACAGTTACTTCTTATGTAGTCTTCTCTATAAAAATTCCAACATATGATTTTTCTACAATTCCTCCTACAGAGAGCGAGCTTTCCACAAACCTAATAGAAAAACATTCTATTTTTCTCAGACCTCTTACTGTTTGCACCATATTCCACTTGCTCTGAGCTTCTAGCATATACATTCAGGCAACTGCTTTTTCACTTCTTCCCATGTTAATCCTGCTTTCTTTTAGATGCTGCCTAATCCACTCTTCAGTGTCATCAATGCCAGTTTTATCAATTTCGTTTTCTGGCAACTCAAATTTTCACCTTTTTTCTTTATGCCTCTAGTCATGCCTTCAATTTCACTGCTTTTTTTTAAAAACATTGGTATCTTAGACCCATTAAATTCTAACCTTGCCATAAACTCTTCAGTGCCTCTTCAACTCTGTTTATTATTACTTTACGAAACCCAACAGCTACTACAAAGGATAAAACAGAAAAATATTTTAGACTGGACCCAAGAAGATTTCTCTTTTGTTTTATTTGTCTACTAGTTTTGATTTTGAAGCTCAATAGTATTGACAAAACTAAAATTCGCTTTTTCTTTTGGATCTTACATTCAATGGGATTCTTCATTTCCACAGGGAACATTAAAACATGTGTCACTTCTATTAATTCTTCATAGAACCATTTAAAAGCTTGATTTCTTTGTCTGCAGTTTTATGGCCTTAGCCACATCATACCAAATGTAACATTTTGTTTCCCTTTGATCTTTTTACTTTTTCTACCTACAATTCTGATCATGACAGCCAAATGTAAATCTATGAACCACATGTGTATTAATCTCAGGATCAAGAATCTTCAATGAGACATGATACTATAATTAATTGAAACAAACTCCTTGTTCTAATCATTGATTGAGAGACATTCTGGAGACCCACTATCCTCACAATAGTGCCCATAAAAAATGACTGGATAATTTCTTTGTGTTTTATCCGCATTTCTCTATTGAATATTAGCAAAGCCTGAATACCTTTTTTTTTTTTTTTGTCTTTTTCCAACTCTGCCTCTTTCTCTCATTCATCACAAACTGGCATTATCTCTTATTCTAATTTTTTATGCTCATAAAAATTCAGTAGTTTTGAGGAGTTTAACATATCAATATTATTTTTAACAAGATAAACAAAATATGATTAATTCAATTAATCCTCTGCTCTGTTAAAATTGAATAAAATTTCAAAGAAAATTTTACATTTAGTTGAAAAAAAAAAAAAAAAAAAAAAATCATCAAAACAGTGATATATTAAAATAATATTTCCTAATGTGTGTGTGTATCTGGTAAAAGGAAAAAAACTAGTATATAGCATTTAGTACTAATTTGCTATATTGGGTAGCCAAAATTTTAATTTGGTTTATTGACTAAAAGACAAGTTTTATTTTTTATATTAACTTTATTGAACAACATATTTACCGTTTTGTTCCACTATTTTCTGCCATCAACTTCATAATTCCTTCTGCCCAGAACTTTTTATCTTTGTCAGCAAAGAACTGCCCTAGGTGCCTTTTGCAGTCTTCCAGGAAATTGATTTTTTTTTCATTAAGAAAATTCTGTAAAGAACAGAATAAATGGTAGTCTGAAAGTGCAATATTTGGTGAATATGGCAGATGAGGGAAAGCTTACCAAGCAATCTCTAAGAACTTTTGCCTGGTTACCAAAGAATCATGCAGTCTAGCATTATCCTGATGGAATATTACACTCTTTCTCTTAACTCCAAATGCTTTTTGTTGATTGTTGCCTCGTAATTCAGAGCAATACTTGTTTGAATTAATTTGTAGGTTCTCTGGAAAGAAGAGATGTCCTTTTAACTCAACTGGATATACATTGCTTTTGAACAAAGATTGGCTTTTGGTACATTGGTGGTGATAAAATTTGTTTGTTCCGTGATCTTTTGTGCTTCTTATTGTTGTAACATATATTGATTTAGATATTCTGTATAAATCATAAAACACTGATCATTCTCAAGTAATATTTTGATCATTATCAACCTCAACTGGTCTACTTTACTATGCTAAATTGTTTAGTGAGAAATCTCCATCACAAAACTTTGCAAATCACTTCTGAATGTTTGATCATTCACAATATCTTCTCTATAAATTGCACAAATCTTTTTAAAGGAGTGAAGGGAGGCATTTGAGTTACAATTTTATCTTTTTAATGTTTGTATTAATAAATAAAAATACAGCAATTTTGACAAAACTCTTTTTACATGCATGCTGTTATGACAACTGCTACAACAGAATCAAAAGCAATCTTTGAATGAAGCTAAAATTAAATCCTCCTGATGCCATCTAATGATAAAAACAAAAAAAAAAAAAACTTTTAACCAACCCAATATAAGTGGGTGAAAATCATTAAAAGAAAAAAAAAAAAAAAAAAAAAAAAAAGCCTCAGTAGTAGTTTCTTTTCAAAACTATTCCTTCCCAAAAAGCCATCAACAATTTTACATCTTTATAAAAGTATTAAAAGAAGAAGAATGTCATAAAATCATGATACTTGTGTAATTTAAGAAGCTGAACAGCTTTTTTATAGCATACATTATTATTATTATTATTATAATGTTATATATTCCTTATTACACCATGGACAGAGCCTTAAGTACATTTCTATTTTTAACAGTAGAGTCAGGCATTTTAGAATTTTTGTTTGTTTACTTCAAATACTTGTCAATTTCTATAAGGAAAGTTTGTTGGTTTTTAATAAATAAATGTAAAATGTTTTACTTATTCTTATGTAAATTTATGCATTCTTTTTTTATTATGCATAATGCATTTGCATTGGTTAAAATTTTTAATTTTTATTTTGTATATATTAATTAAATACTAACATATATACAGTTAAGAAAATGAATGATGCCTGCTTTGTGTTGAACTGGAGAGACAAGGGGGAGTGTCGATGACAGCAACTAATAATTCTAATTATATAGTACTATCCCTTATTTTCTTATATACATACAAGTAAAAAATCAGGTTGATAAAAACCTCTCCTTTTACACACATAATCTAGCATAATCTACGATAGAGCAAATTCAATAAATCAGAATTTTCTCTCATGGGTCATTAAGACTGTCTTGTTTACTATATAAAATAACCACAGTTAGGCTGGGAAAGTGTAAAATGAATATTAGACTTAAGCCACAGGGGGCTATACCCCCAGGCATTACCTCTCCTTCAAGAAGTAATTAGTGTTATTATCTAGCAAATTATTGAGGTGGCTGGAGAAATTTTGGGATGGCTACCAAAAATCACTTTAAAATTTGACCTTGTGTCACATTCTCTGGAAGTCTGCGCATGGATAAATATCCATACTGGTTTTGTATGCTAACTCTACATTAGAATATAATTTGATATGCTCTCTCTAATTGAACCCTGACAGGATTCCACTTAGATGATATTACTAGGATTTAAAACTCAATACATCCATGCATTATGCCAGGTAGAGAAACACCATCACACTATATTAACTGGTATCATTTATTGGGTTCTATCAACATTCTTCTATCAGTGTCTTGAGACGAGCCCAAGAAAACCTAAAATTTTAAATGCTGAAAATGAAACATTTTTATATATTTTTCATTTTTATTCTCACATAATAATCTGGTGACAAGGTGTACTTCTTCTGTGTGAACAATCATGGCTCTCCACAATTTCCTGTCCTTTGTAGCTCTTAGTAAATTGTTTTTTTGTGATCTCTCCTAATCTCTGTTTAGCCAATCATTTATGCAAGCTCAATAGGTAGGTTATACACTACTTTCCTCTACCCCCCCTTGCCTACAATATGTTCAATCTTATTAAGTCTCACAAAGTTAAAAATGAAACAAATTTAAAATAGCTCAGATTCTTTTAAAGTTATTGTTCACCTAATACAAGGCCCAAGAGTCACTCAAAGTAGAAGGTTACTGAATCATGTTGTAAAGGCATAAAGAGAAGAGGAAGCAGTGCATATTATGAAGATATGTAGGTTAGATAACAGTTGACCTTAGACATGAAAAGGTTAAGATTGTAATAAAAAGGAAAGCATCCTCTCAGGAGTTTGTTCCACAAAGAGAAAAATATAAGAAATTATTTATCAGTAGGAAGCATGTTACCCCACCATAAATCCTTACAGTTCTTTAAAACTAATTGGCAATAAAAAAAAAACTATTTGCTTTAAAATTAAAAACATTTTTCAATGTTTTTTTCCAATTTTAAACAAAATGAAAATTTTAAGTTAATCTCTATTACATAATCAAAGTATTAAAATATATTCTAAAGTAAAAAGATGTACTCACTTCAAACTTCCCTTGATTTTGATCCATAAGGAATTTGCTCCCACACAAATACTGCCATGCTCTTGCACGTAGAGAAGGTGGAATTCCTTTTCGACAACGTGCCCGCACCTAAAAAATATAAAAATAAAAAACAAAAAAACAACAGTATATTATTAAAAACAATTAATGGAATGAGAGACGACCAGATAATGTTCATACAATATTCCACTTTTTTTTTTTATATGCTGCAACAGACACAATAAGTCCTTAGTAAAAAAAGAATATAGTGTTAAGAAATTTAAAAGAAGTAAAAATCATCAGGAAAACCTTTTATTCTATTTAAACTAACAGATAACATTTTCATTTTATTGCATTGAAGTTAAATAATGTCCTTTAATGAAGGTGTCAAGTTGAAATAAGTGAAAAATTGAAATATATAAGTAAACATTATTCAATGATATAAAAAGGAATATGGAGGCAAATATCAGTACAGAATGAGCCATCCAGTGAGCCTGTCTGCACAAGCAAGATATGTGAAGGATCCAACATAGAACAAATCCATTACAATTTGTTGAAATGGCCATTCAGGTGTAGGTGTCATGCGAATTGGTTCATGTGGTAGACTTGGGGCATTCCTTGAACATGTAATGCAATTATACCTGTAATTGCGAATTGAGGCATTCATTCCAGGCCAGTAAACCGAGTCATTGGCATGCACTTTCATGCCAACTACTCCTTGATGAGCCGAATGTAGGTACTTTAATATGTTTTTGCGCTGGGAGGTTGGTATTACCAATATTCTACACAGAAGACCAGAGCTGTGGCTATTAAAATGAGCTTTCATATCTGGTGGTTTAGTGCTCTGTTAATTTTCAGTCAATGGGAACAAAGTCCCAATAATCCATGAAGAATGTATTATGATCTTTGGGTACTTCCTATATATTTAACTAACAGGGATACCTGACGTTGCTTGGAAGATCTCTGAATAATTGTTTATATTTTTCAGCCATCTTATGGGAAATAATTGTTTATTCAATCTTTAAAAAAATAAACTTCATTGTTTTGTTGGTATGTTACAAAATAACTAAATTTAGGAAAATACCACACTACCAATACCACACTTGGAGCTGAGCATCCCCATATTTTTATTCAAAAAGATACTTTAATTTAGATGAAATATAGTTAAATTTGAGTTAAGGAGGCACGGTGGAGTAATGGATAGTGGCTCAGATTGAGGAGTCAGAGAGCCGAGTTCAAATTTCAGTCGAATCCATTACATTCACTTACGTGCTAATACCCTTGGGAAAGGTATGAATCCTCTTCTCCCCTATGCTATGGTTAAATAGCAAGACAGACCAGGTTCTACAGCCTTGGATGGTCTACCACAGAAAGAAATGGCAACCTACTGTGGGAAAAACAATCTGCTTCATCAGTCATGTATCGAAAGATATACGATCACCTAAGCATGTATCATGCATGGCACATAACTGACTGACTGATAGTTAAATTCATAAAATAAATATTCAATGTGACTAATGTTGACTGTAACTCAGGTCTCTCTCAATTTTTATTTAACTAAATTTTTTCTTTTCGAATACAACTTGAAATGTAAATATAATTGATTTTCAAAACTAAATTCTTAATGTATGTTGCTTCTACTCTCTTTCAAAATAGTAATTAAATTCATTTACAGAGAAATGTTTGCTTCTTTAATGTAATGTTTAAAAAGTAAAACTTTAATTAAAAAAAAAAAAAAATCTAAATTCCCCTCCAAAACAAATAGTAAATAATTGTTTTTCGAAGTAAGGCTTGCTATAGTTTTTGCTTGAAAAAATGATTAAATATGTTTAAATATATCTCAATTTAAGTTTATTTACTTTATTTAGATGTTTCAACAGATGTGATTGATTTTTGTTTTTAATATTGTTTATTGTAGATATGCTTGCTTTGCACAAATATGACATCAAGAATAGAAGAAATATTTATATTGCTTCTTTTTTTTTTAAATAACATCTGGAAATTCACCCTTAAAGGATAACCAAAATGACAGAATAGCTATTGCTGAATATTTTAATTGCAATCCTTTGTCATTTCTTGTTTGTTAACTTTTCCTCTTCAGTAATATTTAAATTTGCTGACATAGACACACTTAAATCAAAGGGATTTCTCACCCAATCCAGGCACCTTATAAGTGTAAGTGCAGGTAAATATTTTTCAAAATTTATATACAATAAATGTAAAGTTTGTAAAATTAGTTCAATAAGATTTTTATCCAGTTTACACCTTTTCATTAGTTCAAATATTTCCACTGCATTTTCTCTTAATCCTTTTCTTTGAGAGCAGTAATTCTTCTTTGAAAGACTTAACTTAATCTGTAGACATTAGAATATTTTCATGATATCCTTGTATAGTCTTAAGAGTGTTCAAACACTGGAATAAATCTGTAAAAAATGCAACTTCATTACACCAAACCTCATCACAAAGTAAAGCGCCTAATTTCAAATATTGTATTTCTAAAAATGTTAGATCCATAAAATCTTGATAGAACTCTTCCTCCAGATAATTATTTCACTTCTGTATGCTATAAGAGCTGCATTTGAGAAGCATCCATTCAGCAATATAATTCTGCAAATAATCTTGATTGTAATGGCCTGCTTTTTATATAATTAATCATTTTAATAGTGTCATCTAGAACTTTTTGCAAGTCAGGCACTAATAATTTTGACACTAATACTTCTCTGTGTAGAAAACAGTATGTAAAAATAATTTTTGGATTCTATTTTTGTGCAAGTGTAACAAATCTTTTTAAATTTCCATACATAGATAGGGCACCATTTGTACAAATATTTATGCAGGAATCCCAAGACAAGTTATTACAATTGAAGTGATTATCAATCAAATTGGAAATATCCTGGTCCTTTGTTTTGTTTGGAATAATCAACAAAATAAAAACTGTTCTACGATTTCTTTACTGTATTTATCTTGTCTGGTATTTGCATGTCTGGAGTTCCGTTCTAGAGTGAGAAAAACTCTGGTGTTATATAGCTCTCCCAGTCCCAGACCCACGCTGACTATTGGCTAATACCTGCCTAGTATCATTCATATTCAAATAGTCTGTGCCACTTAGTCTAAGTAGAAGGTCTTCTCTCAACAGCCTATTGTGGAGGAGGACACAACTCTTGGTGCTTACAGTACCACATACAACCAACTCAGAGTCGTTTCTTGGGTTAACCAAATTCTCTGTTACATTTACAAACTTCATGAATGCTACAAGTTGGGGTTTACAACATATATTAGTAGTGAGTAGATTCATCCAACAGAATTGCAAATATGCTTACTTCTTTGAGGTGAGATATTACTTGAAATTCTAAATTTTCAGATAAATCCTTAATACGCTGAGAAATTGTATTATCTGAGCAGAATTTTAAAAAATTTCCATTTTATATTCTTCAAATATTGTTTTTTAAAATTGCCCAGCAGGCTGGTAAAATAACAAATTCTGCAATTGTATAAATTTTTTTTTCTTCTTAGCAACAGCGTAACTCGCTCCTTGTGCTTTATCTGATACTATGGCATATTTGGCCCATATTTTTGCTTTAGTATTACTGAGTAGAAGTCATTTGAAATATTCTACTAGCTTTTCAGACAAGTGGGGAAAGTCTGGATTGTAAATGTATCTTTAATTTACTAGGAACCATAGCTCCATTTGTTAATGTTTCACCATGTAGGATGTGGCAGATTTGCTTCATTACATATGAAAATAAATGATAAATAATTACATTATATTGATGAATATTGTTTTTAATTTTTGTTTCTTAATTAAGAATTTTTAATTGAATGCTATATAATAAAAATATGTTCAGTACAAGCTATATGTACTTCAGGTACAATTCAATCTATTCACAATTAAGGATTGCCGAGTCATTCCCAAAATCAAATTTGAATGATTTTGACATATCGGTATTCACTGGCAAGTCCTTGTCAAATTGCAGCGTCTATGAATGTGAAACATGACTTCATTTCACACATCCCACCCTCTTTAAATATTATGTATATGTTTATTTCTTATAATAATTATATAATCATAATCAATTTAAAAGGGATTTCAATTTTGATATAATTATTGCACTTTGGACTTCTTTCAAAAATAATTTAATTAATCACCTTTAAAAATTTCCATGGCATACCAGTTGAAAAATCACTGCCACACAGCATATACTGACACCATGGCATTGATTACTGCAAGACTAGAGAATACTGCCATTGGAATATTGAAGACTGGCCTTATATCACCTGATCAGACAAGTCATGTTTCAAGCTCTTTCAGATAGTGAAGGAAACTACATGAGACTATTGACTAGTATTGTCAGCAGGATGTTGTGTAAGTTATTGGTAGTTCTGTAATGGCATGGAATGTATTCTGTTAGAATTCACAAATGAAATAGAAACTTGCCATGTTTCCAAGAGGAAATAGTTAATTCCAGTAAGATAACTCAACTGCCATTGTGCATGAGTGATACAAAAGACACTCAACTGATAAGCACTTAATTGCTTTATGTGCTTGCCAGATTTAAACTGTATTAAGCATGTTTAAGGAATGTTGCAGACCACATTAAATTTCATGTAGCCACACCCAGTAAATTGGTATTGTTCTGACTGACCCCCTCTTAGCATTTCACTATTTAGGAGAGTCAATCTCAATTCATCATGTTTTTATTTCATTTTCTAATTTCATCACTTGTGGTATGTCCAGCATTATGTCTATTATATTCCGAGAGAGAGAAAGAAAAAGAGAGAGAGAGAAAGAAAAAGAGAGAAAGAAAAAGAAAAAGAGAGAAAGAAAAGAGAGAAAGAAAAAGAAAAAGAGAGAGAGAGAGAGAAAAGAGAAAAAGAGAGAGAAAAGAGAGAGAGAGAAAGAGAGAGAGAAAAGAGAGAGAGAGAGAGAAAGAGAGAGAGAGAAAAGAGAGAGAGAGAGAAAAGAGAGAGAGAGAAAAGAGAGAGAGAGAGAGAAAGAGAGAGAGAGAGAAAAGAGAGAGAGAGAAAAGAGA